CACACACACACACACACACACACACACACACACACACACACACACACACACACACACACAGTCTTTGTTCAAAATAAAGGTCCACTCACTTGATGTAAACTTCATTTAGTTAGCTGAACTCTCCTTCGTCCTTGGGTGCTTTTAGCTGCTTCTCTGGTTTAAGGTCAGTACAGTTATGTGCTTAACCAAATCTTACATCATTAGATACACGTTAGATACACTGCTGTAGAAACATTTAATCACAAATCATGTGTTTCACAAGAAAACACACTGGAACAGTAATTATATCCAGTTGTAAATGGGCTGGTCCTTATGTAGCGCTCTTTACTCTACTCAAGCACTCAAAGAACTTTATGCGACATGGCTCATTCATTCATTCATTCATTCATTCATTCATCCACACAAGCACTTTTCTTTCCTATTTTCACTCCAGTGACCATACTGGAGTGAAATTTGTGGTTCAGTATCTTGGCCAAGTATACTTTCGCATGTAGGAGCAGCCAGGGATTGAATCACCAACTTTCCAGTTAGTAGATGACCTACACCAGAGCTTCCCAAAGTGTGGGGCCCGCCCCCTAAGGGGGGTGCAGAGCCATTGCAGGGGGAAAAAAGGGGAACCCCCCCAAAAAATGCTTGGACACTGCTAGCACGGGGCGCCCACAAAACGCAAAGCAGGAGATGAAGCATCGCTATATATGTTTCCAAACCAACTTCATTCTAAGCCAAAGACTAGAAAATATGGTGAAGCAAATCTGCCCTTTGGTTTCACCTGCACAAGTGCTGAGGTAGGTCTCCGCTGCGTTGGGAGCATGCCGTGGGCTGTTCAAATCACAGACAAACAGGATCCCACATTCTTGATTTTTAGTTCACAAACACTTCTTGTAATGACTAACTGCTTCTGACATTTTGGAGATGTTTGCTCTTTATACAGTAAAGTTACAGCGGGATACAAATAATATCAGGCTGATCCTGCTACACTTTGTTCCCCCTGTCTAAATCACGGAAAAACAGGATCCCACAGCTGTTTATGTTTTTGAACCCATTTTTGCACAGAGACATGTTTTTGAAAAATGTATTGATAGCAATGTTGAATATTATTACACAGGAAAAAAACAACTACATGTAAAATAATTACACCGTGACGCCTCTG